GGTCAAGGTCCTATTATAAACCTGATTTAGCTTTCCTGGAGTTTAGAAATCCCTTGTCGTGCTGTGGGTCTCATTGTTCTCTTTGGGGTTCTCATCATTTATGATCTCAAACTATTAATTTCCTTGTTGGCCAAAAAGAAAATTGCCTTAAACGATAGTAAATTTACTTTAAGTGAAAGAGTGGAAAGGGAATAAAGGGAATAGAGGAGAAATATAGGAAAAAATGTGATGAGGGGAACAATGGACAAGGAGAAAGGTAGGTAGAAAAAGAATATTGAAGGGAAGGAGAGAGAAAAAAAAAAAAAAAACAGAGAGGAAGAATAGGCTCAGGGGTAGGTGAAAAGAAGGATAAAGGAGGCAAGGAAGGGAGAGGAAGGTGGAACGACGGCCTTCTAGCTTTTGCCATCGTTCCCCCCTAGCCTTCAACACAAGGGTTTGTGTTTTTAAGAGAGGGGTTTCGAGAGACAATTTTTGAAGGGACCAATATGTATATTTATTATCGTTTATTATTAGTATCAAGGATTGCTAGTATTATTATAAAACTTTTGAATCTCGAAATACAAGTTTCCCTATTTATATTTCTTCGAGACCTTGCCTGAGGAAAATAAATAGGTGAAATATGCTTAGACCAATTGTCAAAAAAAGACTAACACCACTATGTTTAAGCTCAAAATTTTGACAGTTCTATAATTAAATCAATAATAACACAAGACCTCTTTAAGCCTCTAGGAACAAGTAAACATGCTAAGAAGAATCATAGAGCTTTCTAATGTTAATTACGTGCTTTAAGTGACAAGTGTAGTAAATCTGTGATGACTTTGCTTCTTCTTTTCTCCTTTTAAATAGTGCCCTAGAAAAGAGTGATTTATTGTTTTCCATCAATTCTTTCACTCCACATTTTCAAACAATAAATTTAATTGTCAAGTTTCCTAGTAGCAAGGCCTTTTCAAGAGTATCAGTTGGCCAACTCCTTAAAGGACAACCCAACCATTAGGATTCATGGATTAGGGGCTCAAATCCTTTGGGAGGCATCATCAAGTTTTATGGTATGGGAGAGGGTTTCTTTTTTGTTGACTATTCTAAAAATCACGTGTATCAAAGTTACAAATAGATGATTAGGTTAATATTTTGGATAATAAAGGTATCAAAAGCTTGACTAAAAAATTTTGTTAACCAAGCTATAAATAATCAATGTTATGTGCTTGTTTACTCCTTCTCGTTCACAATTTTGTCATTGCTAGCAACTATGACCGCTATAGTAGACTAGTATAGTAGAAAATGAATAGGGATATCATAGTCGAGCTACTACAGCTATTACTATTGTCTTATGTGACTTCTATATTAGTGTTTTAATTTCATGGTAACTTGATGATTGTTATGACTTTATATACTTGAGAATCATTTTTTTTAAAAATTTTTAGAAGCTATAGGTATTTTGTGCCCTTTTCCTATTGGTTAATTTGTTATTTTCTTTACTGAAATTTATATATATATTTTTGTTGTAATTGGCTATTATTTTGTCTACTACAAACAATAATAGCCACTCTATTATCTACTATAAATTCATAATAGATTTTGGTCTTTCCACTATTTGTTGCTATCCATGATTGATAATAATATTTTTTTATCAATGTACTCCCTTCCATCTAAAATTATCTATCATTGTAACTAATTTCCACATAATTTTAGGAAATACTTTTATATAGCATATGAAATACAATTGAAAATATTTTTGTTCCAATATGGTTTTTTTTTTTTTTTTGTTGATAGTAATCCAATATGTAGCCATTTTAAAGTAATTTCATTTGATCAAAAAATATTTCAATTACCATTCATATGCTATATAAAAATGTTTCCTAAAGTTACATTGCAAGTTAATGTAATGATAGATAAGTCGAGATAGATGGAGTATATTAGTTTTATACATGATTCCTTGGCAATTATCTACAAGAATTAAAATGCTTCCAAAAACTAAATCTTAAGACATATATTGCAGATCCTGCTGGATATTACCTTTTATATTCTATAAAAACCTTTCATCCTTGAAAAGATTACAAAGATATCAAGAAAAGCTATTTGGGCATAAAATTCATCTCCCAATGACCGTTAACTACTTTGGTAACTATATTTAAGAAAGAAATACAATCAATTTGAATGTACAACAATATCTATATTGATAGAAATTAACTTGAATGTCTATCGGTGAACTATGAACATTTAACTCCAAATTGCTTTGCCGAAAAAAGTATTTTCTATAAAATATATAATAGAGGTAGTAAAAATAAGAGAATAATTGTGTTCCTCAATATAACTGAATAAATTTTCTATTAACGATACAATTTAAGTCTTAGTACATTCTTTAATCATACAACACTCCATAAAAGGAAAGAAAAGAAAAGCAATCTACAATATGAAATTCATGATTCAGGCCACAAATACAATATGCAAATGAAAATTTCTAACGAATAAGCAAATAAAATCATCTACATTAAGCTAAAATGGAAAAAACTCCATGATATACTTAGTTTCTTTAGCAAGAAAATTACCATAAAGAACAAAAAAAAAGAAAAGGCCACACACAACAAAAGAAAGTTAAGATGACATGGAACTAAAATGCATGTGCATATATATAAAACCTTTTTCTCTCATTTTCTCACAATTTTGTCGCATTTAAATTTGTAAACCTCAAAAAAAAACCCGTGAACGAGAATGAAATTTTGTACCTTTGAGAGGAGTTGAAGAGCAAGCTCTCGAGTTTCAGGGGATTGAAGAGCTTGTATTAACTGTATAACCGATAATGTTTTTTGGCCCAAGGCAATAGAAGGGGTTGCCCTAAATGAGCCTAGACTCGCCCTAAGTGTGCTTAAACCAGCCCCAGAATAATCTTTGAATGGCGACTCCGGTAAGTCTGCCATTATCCTGAATTGCACAGTGATGAAAAAGCACAAACCAAAACCCAGAAACAAAACCTAGGTGCCTATGGGAATCTATTGTGCTTTTATAGCTGAAGGGAGGTGTGAAGAGTGTGAGAAATGTAGGGTCATGTGTCTACATGTGCTATTAATTTCTCAACATTTGTCTTTATTTTGCAGTGCCAGTGAGAAAGGAAAAGCCTATTATGGGAAAATACTAATTGTTACCCTTTTTTTTTTCTTTTTTGCCTTCCAAAAAGGGAAGTTGTTTTATTATGGAAAATTTTGGTGTTTTTTGTCATTTTTAAAATATAAATTTATCTGTTGACTATTACAACTATTTATCTATTATAAAAATTTTCAAAATTGTTATGCAATTTGAACTATACCAAACTATACAATTTAAATTAATAGATGGACAGACCCACTAATATCCAAAGGTCCTTGCTTTGCAACACAGATTGCAAAACAAGATACTTCCAAAAATTGTTCTTAAAAGAATCTAATGATCCAGAATGAAGGAAAAAAAAAAGGTATAAAAAAATGGTATTTATATGACCTTGTATTTTTTTAATTTTGAGGATATTTACGACCTTGGACACTAGGTCTATTAATGATCTCATGGTTAGAAATCATCAGGTATAAACAAATGTCATGATTTTAAGGCTTGGTGGATCACTTATGAAATTTTTGGGCTGTTTGGATTACTTTTTCAATATAATTAATAACTGCTAATTGATATTTAATGATTGGTAATCTTTATTATTTATAATTCAAAATATTTAGCCCATTTGATTAAAACCAACAGCTAATCATTGTTTCCAAAAGGTTGAAATAAACACCCCCTTTGTATGGTAATGTGTTTTAAAAGGTTATAGGCGAAGCACTTGAACAAACCATTGGTAAAAGATTGTCATAACATGGGGTGGGTCTATAAATTTTGTCTATTTTGGTAATGTCAATGATTTTAATCGTCGTTTTGCGTTATCTATAGAACTTCTCGACTAATGGTTGAGTTTGCTGGGCAATGAGAGTCTTTATTGATTATCTGATGGGAATCAAGACGACAGCATATCTACCACGTCATGTGATCCATTACACACCCAAGGAGGTCCAGTCACGCGAGCTAGAGCTAAGAAGATGCGTGAAACTTTAAATGGCCTTATTGAGCAGATCTGGGTTGAAAACAACATACAACAAGCAAATC